GGGGCTGGAGCTGTGGGGCCGTGGGGATGTGGGGCTGTGGGGATGTGGGGCAGTGGGGCAGTGGAGCTATGGGATAGTGGGGCTGTGGAGCAGTGTGGCTATGGGGCAGTGGGGCCGTGTGGCTCTGGGGCTCTGTGGCTATAGGGCTGTGGGGCCATGGGGCAGTGTGGCTATGGGGCAGTGGGGCTGTGTGGCTCTGTGGCTATAGGGCTGTGGGGCCATGGGGCAGTGTGGCTATGGGGCAGCGGTGCCGTGGGTCTGAGCCCGTGTGTGTTTGCTCCTGGCAGGTGTTCGACCTGCGGCAGTGCCACCGGCAGATGCAGCAGCAGGCGGCCACCGCGCAGGCCGCCGCCGCAGCCCAGGCCGCCGCCGTGGCCGGCAACATCCCCGGGCCGGGCTCCGTCGGGGGCATCGCGCCGGCCATCAGTGAGTACGGCACGGCCTGCCTCCGCTGTGGGGCACAGCTCGGGGGGCACGGCTCCATCCCTGCCCCACACAGCACTGTGGGGCACGGCTTGGGGGGCACAGCTCGGGGGGCACGGCTTGGGGGGGACAGCAGTGACCCCTCTCCCAGCACATCTGTGGGATCAGTGGGGCAGCTCTCAGCGGGGCAGCTGTCAGTGGGGCAGCTCTCTATGGGGCAGCACAGTGTCACCATGCCCCCTCTCCCGGCAGGTCTGTGGGGTCAGTGGGGCAGCTCTGTAGATCTATGGGGCAGCTCTGTAGATCTATGGGGCAGCTCTGTGGATCTATGGGGCAGCACAGTGTCACCGTGCCCCCTCTCCCGGCAGGTCTGTGGGGTCAGTGGGGCAGTGGGGCAGCTCTGTGGATCTATGGGGCAGCTCTGTGGATCTATGGGGCAGCACAGTGTCACCATGCCCCCTCTCCCGGCAGGTCTGTCGGCCGCGGCCGGCATCGGCGTGGACGACCTGCGCCGGCTGTGCATCCTGCGGATGAGCTTCGTGAAGGGCTGGGGGCCCGACTACCCCCGGCAGAGCATCAAGGAGACGCCGTGCTGGATCGAGATCCACCTGCACCGCGCGCTGCAGCTGCTGGACGAGGTGCTGCACACCATGCCCATCGCCGACCCGCAGCCCCTGGACTGACCCCGCCGCCGCCCCGGGGAGGCTGCCGTGTAAAATACCCTTCTGTTCATAACCTCCAGATATATTTTACTTCCCTTCTGCTTAACCTTCTGAAAACAGGTTTTAAAAATGTGTTTGCCGCCTTGCTCTCAGCAGGAAGAGTGGGAACGCGCGGGGTTGGGGTTGTTGGGGTTGTTTCCAGAAGGCGGTGGCCGTGACACGGGGCCTGGGGCGGAGGGTGAAGGCTTTACAGAGACTCGGGGTTGTTCCCTTCGGAACTCTCCTTCCCTGTCACGGCGCCTCACTGACCAGCCTCACGGGAGCCTTTTGTATGCAGAATATATATTATATATATATTTATATCTGAAAATCCCTCCTAGTAGTTAAAAACATTTACCTTGTAGCGACTTTAAAATTCCAGCTGATTTGTGATATTCTGTTTAGGGAACAGTAGTTAACAGGAGAATTCTTTATTTTGTTGATGATCACCTTATGATTTTTCCAGGTTAAAGCCTAGCAGCTGCCAAAAAGCGAGGGGATGACACATACGTTGTTGGCATTGGTCACAAACTTCGTTAGTTTTTAAAGCAAAAAAAAAAAAAAAAAAAAAAAAGACATCGTAGATTTTTTATTTCCATAACCACCTGAGTTTTAAAACACTAAAGGAAGCGGATGCTCTCAGTGCTGGCACTCGCTTTAAGGTGAAACACCCAGCAGGCAGCGTTGCCACTGAGATCTCATCGCGAGTGCCTGATGGCAGGAACGTGTTTTCATAATTACTACTGACTTCTATGATTTTACTCAAAAAAAGAAAAAAACCCCTTTTAGCATGTGCTACGGTTGGATTTGCATGACTCTTTTTACTGGCGTGTATCACGGGAAGTACGTATGGTAACCCACGGGTGTTTAGGGCCGGGTTTTTGTATCTGTTCACCATTTCCACTCAGGGCAAGATGGCAAACCTGTTTTTATTCCTCCTGGTTGTTTCAGCCCTCTGCCATCGGTGAGCGCAGCAGGGGCAGTGGCTCCGGGACACGTCTGCGCCGTCTCTAGCTCCAGTGACAATAAAAGGCTGGAAACCCCCTTTGTAAACATTCAGCTTGTGAAACCTCCATCTCAGCCACGGGCTCCTTCCCGCAGCCGGGGCAGCGGCAACGGCCGGGGGAGAGTCAGCAGCCGGGGCAGGATCAGCAGCTGGGGCAGGATCAGCTGGGGCAGGATCAGCAGCCGGGGCAGGATCAGCAGCCGGGGCAGGATCAGCAGCTGGGGCAGGATCAGCCGGGGCAGGATCAGCTGGGGCAGGATCAGCCGGGGCAGG